AAAGAGAGAGAGTTAATAAGAGTTAGGAACTGCCCTAAACATAGCACGGGGCCTGATGAGAATCACATAAAAAATAAACACATTCTGATCAGTTTTTAAATAGGCGTATAAATTTACACTAATTGTAGCTATTGGGTAACAGGCAAACCCTTCAATAATGAAAACAAGTATTTCTGCCAAATGAACTAATTCATGTTTAAAAGTAAAATTGGGTGTTGCTTGTCCATTGCATTTGTGGGTAAACATCATGAACAGCTCTCAGCTTAATTATGATGGCGAGGGTTTGATGATCGATCGTGTTTGATTGATGATTGTCAATGCTGATGATGGATGACTGATGACGACAACGCATCGATACATTTCATGGAGCGATTCACTTCCACAAGGATTTACGCTCCGATGCGTAGGCCATTTTAGAGTCATCCATCTGAGTGATCGCTCCTCCATCGCTGGCAGCGTGAATACAACACAGGTACTTTACATCCATCGCATACGAATCGACAAACATTGACGATTGATGATTAATCGAGTAACTCTCACACAGTTATGGTCTGCACAGCGCAGGGGGGGCGGGGGGGGGGGGTCTGCAACCGAGATGACAAGATCATGGTTTTTTTCCCCTATAATCGGTAAACAAACAACAAAAAAACCCGCTCAATATTTCAAGAGCCACATTGCACGTGGTGAATAAGAGGCGGTGGGTGCTTGATACATCACGTCGCGTGGACAGTCCTTAAAGGGCCACGCGCGTCTCCGGATCCGCAGTTTACTGACCCCCCCCCGCCACCCGCTTGGCATAGCCATCACCGATCCTTCTTCTTTCGCGTGGCTGATGTAGACGACGCAGCGTTTGACTGATGGCGGGTGGCTGACGACGACAACAACGAATCGATACATTTCGTGGAGCGATTGACTGCCACGGCGATCTGCGCTGCGATGCGCGGATCACTTTAGAGTCACTGCGCGTTTACATCCAGCCGAATCAGTGCCGGATTATCCGAGTAGCAAAAGTAGCTACATGTGTAGTAGCTACATGTGTAGTAGCTACATGTGTAGTAGCTACATGTGTAGTAGCTACATGTGTAGTAGCTACATGTGTAGTAGCTACATACTACATGTGTAGTAGCTACATGTGTAGTAGCTACATACTACATGTGTAGTAGCTACATGTGTAGTAGCTACATACTACATGTGTAGTAGCTACGTGTAGTAGCACTTTCAAGTGCCTCGCGCTAAATACTTTCAAGCAATCAAATTCCGGTTCAGTGATTCTGGATTTGCTTTATCACTATAGTATTATGCCGCCTTTAACTTTCATGAACGACTGGGTGTTTAAGGTGAGCGATTTGTCGCTGGGTATTCATTTATCTGGCTGAAAAGCCAATGAAAAAATACAATTACTTTACTATGCAAGTAAAAAAATGTATGTGTTTAATTATTTACGTGTTTTTTATATTTAGGGTCCCTTTATAATATATGCTTAATCCTGCACGGAGCTGAGTGATCGCGCCTTGATCGCTGGCAGCGTAAACACGACACATATAATAATAGGGGTTTTCCCCTTTTTCTGGCAACAAAACTGAAACCTTTTTACAAGGATTCATGTCTGCATTAACCACAATACCTGCAGTGAAAATGCACACAAAAAATACTATGATAATATATGCATTGTCCTTGAAACTGATTGGTCCATACCAAGGAACGGCTTTCTTTTGAGCCTCGACCCAATTGGTGCTCGACCAGATGATGCCAAAAGGCGTCACACAGCTCAAAGACAATGCACTATCAAAGTAATGAGGGCTCGGGGTGAGCGTCTACTTCATTAGACCTCCTTTGCCAGTACCAAAATGTAATAATAGGGGTTTTTCCCCTTTTTTCTGGCAACAAAACTGAAACCTTTTTACAAGGATTCATGTCTGCATTAACCACAATACCTGCAGTCAAAATGCAAACAAAAAAAATACTATGATAATATATGCATTGTCCTTGAAACTGATTGGTCCACACCAAGGGACGGCTTTCATAGTATGTTTTTGTTTGCATTTTGACTGCAGGTATTGTGGGTAATGCAGACATGAATCCTTGTAAAAAGGTTTCAGTTTTGTTGCCAAGAAAAAAGGTGAAAAACCCTATTATTACATTTTGGTACTGGCAAAGGAGGTCTAATGATGACGACACGTATACTTTGCATACGAATCGACAGACATTGATTTTTAATCGAGAAATCAATGCAGTATTCCATTCCGGACAGGTGATTGATGATGATGAGATGATTCAACAATAATATAAAAGTCGGTTGGGCAGGTCACACTATGGCTAGAAGTAATTAGCAGCAACAACAACTGTTGCATATTAGTACAGGGACTCCTCTACTTACGAACTATTCGACTTACGAACTTTCGGAGGCACGAGCAACCCTGTGCGTATGTCCAGCTGCCTGTTCGGACCGAGATTCGTAAGTTCAACCACCACGCAATAGATGTGCGGTGGTGGCATCTACATATACAGAACGTGAAGAACCAGTGGCATCTACATCTGTAGAGCATAAAGAACCAGTGGCATCTACATCTACAGAACGTGAAGAACCAGTGGCATCTGCAGAACATGAAGAACCAGTGGCATCTACATCTGCAGAACATGAAGAACCAGTGGCATCTACATCTGCAGAACATGAAGAACCAGTGGCAAACTACATCTGCAGAACATGAAGAACCAGTGGCATCTACATCTGCAGAACATGAAGAACCAGTGGCATCTACATCTGCAGAACATGAAGAACCAGTGGCATCTCCATCTACAGGAGATTATACAACTTTTAAAGCCATTCCCCGTGTTTAGTGTACACGCCGTACAACATGTTTGGAATCGATAGGAGTAGAATTGGATTTACGAACAAATCGACTTACGAACAGACCTCTGGAACCTAACTCGTTCGTAAGCAGAGGAGTCCCTGGAATAGGAAATAGCGTGCAAAACACGAAGCGACGTTGAATCAAGGGTCAGCATTACATTTCCCTACAGCGCAATTCGGTTCGGGCAGTTCATCGCCAGATCGAGAAGATGACGGCTCAAATCACACGACTCGTCTACAGCGACGCGAAACGTTCCAACAGCTACGGCGATGATAAAATGTTACATTCGTACTCCTGGTGCAGAAATCGCTTTGCCACTGATTGACTTCTTTTTTAAACCGTGGGGTGAGAATCTAACTCAGGTGACCGCCGGGTATTCATCGCCCGCAGTGCGCCAACCACTGCGTCACCATCCCCTCCCCCGCTCCTCCAACCCACAAAGAAAAAAAAGACAAAGATCCCCCATATAGCCTTAACAGACTGTAGGGGCAAGTGCTGTTAGCGAGCACCTATGAAGGCCGGAACGGTACACGAGGAGGTGGGTGGCCAGGACCACGCCCGACCGCCTTTGTCTCCCCAGTGGCGATATTTACACACCGCACCAGGATGTCATTTGAGGCTGAGTCGACCTAGGGGAGGCCCAGGAACCGGTTCAGATAATCGTCACTGCTGTTGGCCGTGAGCAGGGAAGCGAACCCGGGTGGCCGGGTTTATAGCGCAGCGCGCTAACCGCTACGCCACCGCTCCCCGCTCCAACCCACGGTACTCTAAACACAAGCACTGTATGACGATGTTCGGGATGATTACGCATTGACACGCGTTCGGTAAATGTTTGCGACGCTGGCAAGAGCACAAATGTGCATCACGCAGATAAGTACGACACACGGCAGGGAAACGCGCTCGAGTTTTTAAGGCATCCATGAATTAGGTTTTTTTGGGGTTAGATTGCGTGAATATATAAATGTGTCGTTACACCCGCCACCACCCGACACAGCCAACTAGTAAGGGTTGTCACGTAAACAGAACGTGGCCAATTCGTCACGAGTACAGCACACCGGTGTGTTGGAGAGCCAAGCCACAACATTTACAATCTGAGTACGACGTTTCGCCAGTAATTACAACTAGCTTCATCAGGCGACGGCCAGATTGTGTGGTGGCGGGTTTCAGGACGCATGCATATTTACGTGATCTAACCCAACAAAAACCTCTATTGTGGATGATATTGGTCTCCAAAGCCATCGAGTTATTACAACGTTACAAATACAATGTTAGACATGGGCAAACCTCCCTAAGATCCACGCCTCGCCGTCTTCGTCTTCCCATCCCCCCCACCTCTCCCACAACACACAATGTCATCTACCCTAGCGACAGACGGCAACATTTATTTTAGGCTGAGTTCACCTAGGGGAGTGCCCCCGTGCCAAATGCAGGCGACAACGCTGATGTGCGTACATTGTAACCGACACGATGACCGGGCCTGGGAACCCGAGGCCCTCACCACTACGCCACCGCTCCGTACACCTGTGCACCGAACACCTGCACAGACACTGCTGGTGTCACGCGCTGTTTGCGAGCCCCTATTGAAATTCACGCGAGGAAGGGGTTGGGGGGAGGGGGTGCTGGCCAAGAACCACGCTCGCGCGGCCGCCTTTGTCTTCCCTGCAGCGCTGATGCTTATACACACCGCACCCGATACTCATTTAAGGCTGAGTTGACCTAGGAGGGAGGGGGGAGCGATAACCACTACGCCACCGCTCCCCGCACTCACTGCACGCATGGAATAGAACACAGCATGGACACACCCAGTTGTCGTAGTGCATGTAAACATACGTGCATAGACACATATACATACTGCATTATTACATATAATACAACAATAATGTGTATATATTATACACGAAAAGACAAAGGCCCCCCCGTATAGCCTTAACATACTTTTGGGGCAAGTGCTGCTTTCGCAAGCACGTATGCACACACACACACACGCGTGCGCACACAAAGATACCCACACAGACACAACTTACATACGTGTACACACAGTACCATTCCCCTTCCTCTATACCGGACGTACGTACACACACGCGCACGTGTGTGTACGTACGTAGAGAAGACACACACACACACACACAGAGACAGCGTCAGCCTCACCCGGTAACAACACGACGCCGGTTGTGCCTGGTCCGTCCACAGGTTTAAATCCACATCGTCTTCCCCCAACACCACGACCCCGGCGAAACGTAGAGACGAGCTGGCGGGCGGTGAGAGATGTGAGAGAGATGTGAGAGAGAGCGCAGCGCTTCTGTGCGTGTTTGGGGTTGTTGTGGTTGGGGGGGGGGGTGTCGTTCTCTTGCCAGGGGTCCTCATGGGAAGAAGGTCCGGGTGCGCGGGCGGTGTTGGAGCGCAGAGAGAGGAGAGAGGCTGCGCGGGATGCAGAAGACCCCAAGGGGTGGTTACGTCACCGCGACGGATCAGAGGCGTACTTAGCACACCCCACCCTCCAGACAACCCTCGCAAACACGCGCACGAAAGGCAAAGATCCCCCGGATAGCCTTCACGGACTTTTGGGGGCAAGTGCCGTTCGCCAGTTGCACCTATCGAAGGCCCGGCACGGCACGCGAGGGGGTGGATGAGTCAGCACCACGCCCGGCCGCCTTTGTCTTCCCACGGTGGCGGTTTTTACACACCGCGCTCAGCCTCATTTGAGGCTGAGTCGACCTAGGGGAGGCCCAGGGCCGGTTCAGATAATCGTCACCGGTGTTGGCCGTGAGCGGTAATCGAACCTCGCTAACCGCTACACTACCACGCTTATACATCACCTCACTCATACACACACTCTCTTATACACCACCTACTCATACACACACTCTCTTATACATCACCTACTCATACACACACTCTCTTATACACCACCTTACTCATACACTCACTCTCTTATACACCACCTACTCATACACACACTCTCTTATACACCACCTACTCATACACACACTCTCTTATACACCACCTTACTCATACACTCACTCTCTTATACACCACCTACTCATACACACACTCTCTTATACACCACCTTACTCATACACACACTCTCTTATACACCACCTACTCATACACACACTCTCTTATACACCACCTACTCATACACACACTCTCTTATACACCACCTTACTCATACACACACTCTCTTATACACCACCTACTCATACACACACTCTCTTATACAGTGAGGGAAAAAGTATTTGATCCCCTGCTGATTTTGTACGTTTGCCCACTGACAAAGAAATTATCAGTCTATAATTTTAATGGTAGGTTTATTTGAACAGTGAGAGACAGAATAACAACAAGAAAATCCAGAAAAGCACATGTCAAAAATTTTATGAATTGATTTGCATTTTAATGAGGGAAATAATTATTTGACCCCTCTGCAAAACATGACTTAGAACTTGGTGGCAAAACCCTTGTTGGCAATCACAGAGGTCAGACGTTTCTTGTAGTTGGCCACCAGGTTTGCACACATCTCAGCAGGGATTTTGTCCCACTCCTCTTTGGAGATCTTCTCCAAGTCATTAAGGTTTCAAGGCTGACGTTTGGCAATTCGAAACTTCAGCTCCCTCCACAGATTTTCTATGGGATTAAGGTCTGGAGACTGGCTAGGCCACTCCAGGACCTTAATTTGCTTCTTCTTGAGCCACTCCTTTGTTGCCTTGGTCGTGTATTTTGGGTCATTGTCATGCTGGAATACCCATCCCCGACCCATTTTCAATGCCCTGGCTGAGGGAAGGAGGTTCTCACCCAAGATGTAACGGTACATGGCCCCGTCCATCGTCCCTTTGATGCGGTGAAGTTGTCCTGTCCCCTTAGCAGAAAAACACCCCCAAAGCATAATATTTCCACCTCCATGTTTGACGGTGGGGATGGTGTTCTTGGGCTCATAGGCAACATTCCTCCTCCTCCAAACACGGCGAGTTGAGTTGATGCCAAAGAACTCCATTTTGGTCTCATCTGACCACAACACTTTCACCCAGTTGTCCTCTGAATCATTCAGATGCTCATTGGCAAACTTCAGACGGGCATGTATATGTGCTTTCTTGAGCAGGGGGACCTTGCGGGCGCTGCAGGATTTCAGTCCTTCACGGCGTAGTGTGTTACCAATTGTTTTCTTGGTGACTATGGTCCCAGCTGCCTTGAGATCATTGACCAGATCCTCCCGTGTAGTTCTGGGCTGATTCCTCACCGTTCTCATGATCATTGCAGCTCCACGAGGTGAGATCTTGCGTGGAGCCCCAGGCTGAGGGAGATTGACAGTTCTTTTGTGTTTCTTCCATTTGCGAATAATCGCACCAACTGTTGTCACCTTCTCACCAAGCTGCTTTGCAATGGTCTTGTAGGCCATTCCAGCCTTGTGTAGGTCTACAATCTTGTCCTTGACATCCTTGGAGAGCTCTTTGGTGTTGGCCATGGTGGAGAGTTTGGAATCTGATTGATTGCGTCTGTGGACAGGTGTTTTTTTATACAGGTAACAAGCTGAGATTAGGAGCACTCCCTTTAAGAGTGTGCTCCTAATCTCAGCGCGTTACCTGTATAAAAGACACCTGGGAGCCAGAAATCTTTCTAATTGAGAGGGTCAAATACTTATTTCCCTCATTAAAATGCAAATCAATTTACAACATTTTTGACATGCGTTTTTCTGTATTTTCTTGTTGTTATTCTGTCTCTCACTGTTCAAATAAACCTACCATTAAAATTATAGACTGATCATTTCTTTGTCAGTGAGCAAACGCACAAAATCAGCAGTGGATCAAATACTTTTTTTCCCTCACTGTACACAATAAAATAAGAAAATATATTATTTTATTGTTTCGGTAAAGTTACGTTGACTCTACCGAAAGTTGCGCATTTTGATGTGACGTCACATTTCTCAAACACCCCCCCCCCCACCTCGTCACACATCGTCACAAATGTCTGACCCCCACCACCTCCAAGGTGCGTGACGTCATTTATGGACGGCCCCTCATTTCATGTACCGCAGATACCCAGCGTAGGTGCAGGCACGCTGCGCCGTGTTCCTTGATAAGCCGCGTAGCCCAATGTGGATGAAGAGACAACGTTTCAGTTTAATCTATTTGGTGTAGAGCCCTTTGAGCCATTCGGCTCTTGAGACGGATGCAACCGCAACAAAAAAAAACACAAAAACATGAGCAGGAAAAACATCTTAAAGTGACTCTGCGCAAACAGGAAAATCCAGGGGGGGGGGGGGGGGGAAACAGCAAAATCTTCTAGAAAAAGCACCGTACATCAACGCTGTGTGCAAAAATCCCAGTGGGATGCAGGTCAAACAACAACAACAACAGCAATAACCACAAGACAACTTAGATTAAGGCCATCAGTCTGACTCCTTACTACAACAAACAGAAACATGGCCAAACCAAAAAACTTTTCGAAATCACCAAAATAAAGCCATAACAGCAATGTGAGACTCACTCAAGCAGTGGCTCTTAACCTTGACCGCAAACCTTTGCACCGCTTTGGTTCTCAATCATTTTCACGATGTACAATGTTCATAAACCCACAGGAATTTGATGAAACAAAGTAAGTTGTTACTTATGGGCCGAACATAAATGACGTCACGCGATTTAGGACGATTTTTGACCCCCCCCCCCTCGTCACACGGCGTCACAAAAAGTCAGACCCCCCCCTTCAAATATGACGTCACAAAGCTCTGCCCCCCCCCCCAAAAAATATAAAACATGCTTCAAATCGCTTTAAACTATTGTCATTGTAGTGCGTATTTAATGTGGCGCTGCACTCTGATGTTGTAGGAGAAAACATTTAGTAAAAGTCTATTTAATTAAGTAGAACGTGGTTGTCTATATTTATTTAAACTTGCGCTTTTTGATGTGACGTCACATTTCTCAACCCCCACCTCGTCACAAATGTCTGAACCCCCCCCCCCCCCAGGTGCGTGACGTCATTTATGGACGGCCCCTTACGTGCCCGCGTGCTTTGATTTGCGTTCTCGATCATTTACATTCCAAAAAAAAGAATTCTGTCCGTGTCTCGCACCCACAGGGTGATGCGTCCGCCAAGGAGGACCCCCTGCACTAAACAATGGCAGGCAATGGCAGAGCGGGAACGGGAGCCAGAAGACAACACATTTCCCTTTCGTGTCCACACACAAAGACAAAGATCACCCCTGTAGCCCTCACATGGCGTGTTGGGGCAAGTGCTGTCAGCGAGCGTCTCAGACAGATGCACCCACTCGCACACAAAAAAAAACACCCACTCGCACAAAGATGCCCCCGTATATTCTCGGCAGCCTGTTCGGGGGCCAGTGCTGTTAGCGAGTAGCACCTTTGAATCGCGGGACGGAACACGAGTGGGTGGGTGGGCAGCACCTTGCCCCGGCCGCCTTTGTCTTCCCCAGTGGCGATGTTTTTACACATCGCACCAGGTACTCATTTGAGGCCGAGTCGACCTAGGTGGAGGCCCAGGACCGGTTCAGATGATCGTCACCGGTGTTGGCCGTGAGCGGGAATCGAACTCGGCTCGCCGGGTTCGTAGCGCAGCGTAGCGCTAACCGCGGCCCTCCCGATTCCCTTGTACTGACATAGCCACGGATGTATTGTTAACCCGTACATAATAATAATATGTAGGCTATAACTATATACATTATTTTAGTTGCACCGTGTATTGGCTTTAGAGGAAGACAGTGTAGCAGTGACGCTGTTAATACAAATATTTAAAGGTTACAACAATCACAATTAAGTTATCAAGCGTCTTGCTTTCATGCGAATGTCAGTTTTAAAACTCCAGGGGTGTTCACTAACAAACGCCAGTCGTTTTTTTTTTGTCCATTTATGGCTCACTGTTGGAACATTTTCTTTTAAATACTTTTTTCTTAAAAAAATTTTGTTGCTTGTATATCTGTTGATTCGGGGTTCTATCTTGTGGCCGACTGGGCCTAGATGCCTCGCATAGCGGTCCCACACACCACAACCCACCCCCAGCTCACGTGCTCATTGCGGGCCCTTCTGGCCGGCCGCAATAGGCATTCGCAAATAGCAACCACGAACTGCATGCGTGCGTGACCCAGTTTGAGGAACTCTCTCTCGCACGCGCAGCAATGGTCTGCATAGCACAGGGGGTGTGGTGTGCGGGAAAACAAAATGACAAATTACTTTTTTTTCATCAATTATCGAATTGTACTGTTCGCCTTTTGGCGTTGTCCTCTGGTCTCACACTGGCAGTGAAACTAGGCCATAGTGAATGTTTTTTTTTGTCTCTGGTGTAGACCAATCAGTTTCGGAGACAATGCCTCATATAGTAATTATCAGAGCATGTTTGTTTGCATGTTCACCATGCAAACAAACATGATTCCTCACAAAATGTTTCTGTGGAATTTAAACGTCTTGACACCTGTTGTATTGCTAAAAAGGACCAAA